CCAGAAAACTCCAGTCTCCACATCTTATGGTTCAAGACAGCAGGTGACACCTTGGTGCTGTTGTATTAGTAGCTCTGACTTCGTGGACCCCAGAGAGGTCAATTCTGGATTTTATCTGACTGTAATATTCAAAACATGTAGCATGGGAAAATGTTTCTTGTGGCTGCTCTGTGATCTGGTGTCTGAACATCCAAATCCTGGAGCCTGACTGTAGGTTGGCGTACCTAGCTCTGCCATAGACTGGCTGTGGCTCTGGGCAAGACACTTTCCTCTGTAAAATGGGGGCTATAAAAGTATCTGTTACAGGTGGTAACTCAGTGAGTAGGGCGATTCTGTGCTTGGAGGGTGCTGGAAAAGGGTTTGACCTGTTCGAACCTCTGTGTTAACTGTGATTATTGTTGTCTCGATGGCGAAGTGAAGGACACATGCAATGCTGACATCTGTCTCTCTTGGCCCAGAGGGAGGAGTGGATATTATTCTCCCTGAGGTCCCCACACACCCAGCATGGGGAAGTCATCCTGGATCGAGGGAAAGATGAGAGGGGAAAGAATGTGGGCCTTTCATAGCCCTCGGTAAGATCAGCCTGAAGAACCACATTTTTAAGGTTTCTTGTGTTGCATAGTGGGCACAGAGAAGCTTCCCAATTGGGTGGACCTCATAAGGAGGGTCTTGATCAGCTTCATTAACCGTTGTTTCCTTACCACCCAGCAGAGTGGCAGCCTGAAGCAGGCACTCAGAAAGTGTTTGTGAATGGTTGAAGGGTGGACTGAATGAAAAAGAGGGACCTATGGCCATCAGTGGGGGAAGAGAGGGGCCTATGGCCGTCAGTGGGGGAAGAGAGGGGCCTATGGCCGTCAGTGGGGAAGGGAGAGAATACAAACTTTCTTTGGTTTGAGGTAGTAGGAAATGCACACATCAGATTGACCAAAAAAAAAAAAAATCAATAAATAGTTCAGACTGAACAACTCACTAACTCAACACATCAAATGGAACGTTTCCTGCAGCACATTTGCACTATCATTAGGCAATGGGAAATGAGTTCTCATCATCTGGAGCAGAGACACCCCGACGTCCCAGACCTCTTCTGTGAGGACCCCAGGAGTGCCTTTTTATTCAGGGACACCAAGGACACTGCTGTAGACCAGCACTGAGGAGGGGACCCCAGAGTCTCAGGAAGGAGCAGTGAGGTTCTGCTCTGTGATTGTTTACCTCCTCTGCCTCTCAATCATGTGGGTGGGGATCCTGTTCTCTAGGCCTTGCCCCTGCCTGCCACTGCCTCAGGTCTGGTTGCCTCTTTCATCGTCTGTTCTGGACACATTGGCCTTTCCTCCCCTCAACTATTCTCTGAGCTCTTCCTAATTAGGCTTCTCCCTAAATCAGGATTTGGTTCCCACTGTTACCTTTTGTAAGATGTCACTCCTAAAGCCCAGAACATCTTCTCTGAAGTACCACCTCTACCCCCACTCCACCTCTGAGTCCCCTTTCTGTGCTTGGTTTTTCTTCTGAGCATCAGGCATTTGTATGCATTTGATTTCGACTGTTCCTCACCATAGTGATGCATTGTTAGGGCAAATGTGATGCCTCAAAATTTGGCCCCCAGTACAGACTTAAAATATACTAATGCCTTAAAATGCAGTAGATATTGTAGCTGTTTTAGATTGAGATCAAAGTAACAATTGTGATCGTTTCACATAAAAACCAAGGTGAATCTGTTCAAAGTATGATAATGTAGCTAATGCTATCAAAGTAAATAATATAGAAAAGAGAACCCAACTTATGAATACTGTAGGGGAGAGAGTTTTTAAAAAAAACAAAACATTCTTTTGTTCCAGGAATTTACTTCTGAATTGCTTATTGGGAATTGAAAGCACCTCATATTTTGTAATGAAGAGGGTTTTCATGTAGTCAGTCCTTTGTGAGCATGGGTTTGGCACCTGTGAACTTTACCAGTGCAGATTAAAAATATTTGGAATGCTGGGCGTGGTGGGACATGCCTTTAATCCCAGCCCTCGGGAGGCAGAGGCAGGCGGACATCTCTGAGTTCAAGGCCAGCCTGGTCTACATAGTGAGTTCCAGGACAGCTGGGGCTACAAGGAGACCCTGTCTCAAAAAGACCCCCCCCAAAAAAAAATTGAAAAACAAACTTGCCACTGTATTCAATATGTACAGACTTTTTTCTTGCCTATATTTCTTAAAAATATAGCATGATATCTGCTTGCATAGTGTAGCCCTGCACTGGTACTGTAAGCAATCCAGAGATGGTGAGAGCAGATGAGAGCAAAATGTGTAAGCTGTGTGCAAATTCTGTGCTGTTTGGGGACTTGAGCATCCTTGGACTTTAGTACCACAGGGGTGTGGGTAGAATGGGTCCTGGTCCGACAGACAACCATATCAATCCCAAAGAGTACCACCCAGAAATTGACTGCATTCAGGCAAAAAGTACATCTTGATAGATGACCCTGCTAGTTCATTTAAATCTGCCCCTCTTCAGAAAGAGTTTTAAGTTAGCCTGCAAAGAATCAGATACTCAGGTATGTAAGTGCCAACACACGTTTTGAGTCTGGTGCTCAGCATCAGGAATAAAGCCCCAGTGAGACACACCACCTGTGTCCACTATAGCCTCCCAGGGACGCACACATTCAATATAGAACTGTACAGATAGTTATTAAAAAACGCCTAAGATCCGTGAAAGAAAAACAAGGAAAGTGAGGGTGGTTTGGTTTAGGCAGTCTGTCCCACGAGTCTGCCTTCCTATAGTTTTCAAATCATTGCTTTTCTTAGAATGTTCTGGGTAGTTTGCAGCCAGAACTATCGCTATAGAGATTTTTCAGCAAGTGGGCGGGTAGAAGGGGAGGCTCTGGTCAATGTCTAGCGTGTTCTTCTGGGAGTTGAGGTTCTCTTTTTTAGTCGAACCCTATTGTCATGGGAAGGAAACTACAGTAAGTAGAAAAGAGACCTTTCATCTACTAGGAAAAGGAGCCCACATCCAAAATCATGGGAGTGGGTGTGGCATTACAGCCCTGTAACCCCAGTACCTCAGAGGTTGAGGCAGGAAGATCTTGAGTTTGACTGTAAACAGTTTGAGTTGAGGCTGTTTAGCAAGACTATGTCTGAAAAAAACAAAACCATGAAGTAACACAAACCCGAATCAGGGATTGGCCAGAACCAGCTACTCCTGGCAGCTCGCTGAGGTCCTTCATACCCACAGGGGGTTCGAAAGTTTTTTACATGTCTTATGGGAAGACCACCCCTATCTTGGGCACCGTAATTTTTCCACATGAGTCTGGAAGTTGTACGGCAGTTGTAGGGAAGTTATTGCAGTGAGTCTTTCTTACTGGAAATCCACAGTGCTCATGAGTTTGGGTTTTACAGTTAAACAAGTATTCAGTCACACTGTGAGCACTGTGGGCCACTTCCCCATGCCTCAGTTTCTTCTTTCGCGTATGTAGGACATGACAGGACGCTGATAGAACTTGCTTCTTGTACTGTTGGTGCTAGCTCTGTCAAGCCTGTGAGATGGTGATCACAGTGCCTGTTCTGAGGGTGCTCTTGGTGTGCACATGCGGAGTTGTTGGAAGTACTGGAGTAGTGCTCTTGGGGAGAATGGGAAAGAAAACTCCCAGTGCCCCACATGCTCATAAGTCCAGCCAGAATTTGTTAGTATTGTTCAGTTTATCAGTGCAAAAGAACAGCAATTTTCTAGGATGCCAGCTACCAGTTTAGTACCTTTTCCCTTTTGGCAAAAAGCTTATTCACATTTCCAGATAATCAGTTTATAGATTAAATTTTTAAATGGTATTTTAAAAATACCATCTGGAAAAGTGAGAAATGCCTGCTAAACTTACTTGTATTTTTAGCTAATTAGAAGTACCATAAGGCCATTTTCTAGGGCAATTAGAAATTCCCATGTATTGAAAAGTATATTGGGATTTTTTTTTGAGAAAAATATGTAATTCAGGGCAGAACAAAGTATTTGTGTTTCTGAAGCAAGCATATACATACATGCATATACACATATACATATATATGTGTGCATGTATATGTGTTTGGCTCTGCCCAAGAGGTGGCACATCTGCAGATGCCTCTTGGCCTTTCTTGATTCCAGACAGGCCACAGGGGCAGTCTGTGGTGACTGTGGAATTAATTTCTCTTAAACAGCCTGTTGAGAGTTAAGAGAAAGAAATGGAATGCCTGGAGTTTGCAACGTTGGAAGACGTTCTTTTCTTGGCACCAAACATTCTTAAGAACTACAAGAGTTGTGGAAAAATTAATGTTCTTAGTGTTCTATGACTTGGAATTTAAATTCTCAATATGAGCCAGGCTCTCCCAGTTGACCCCAGTCTCCCTCCTCCCTTCATACCTATCCAATAGTAATCTTGTTTCTCAGGATTACCATGAATTCCAGCCTAAGTTTTGAGTTGTGACTGTGTAAAATTCCCTGTCCTGTGGCTTCTGGGGTGTCTTGAGCTTTGCTATTTGGTGTCCCGGGAGACAGTGCTTAGCTGCTGCTTCCTGGAAAGTCACACTTGCAGTGAGGCCCACCATAAGCATCATGTTCTGTGTGGATTGTTCACTACCTGCTCAGGTTGCCAGCAGGATACATGGTGGGGCAGCATCTGATTGGTCAGATGGCCTTTATGGAGTGTGCCACAATTACTCTTCTCAGTGTTCAAGTGTACTCATAGCCTTCGGTTTAAAAATAGGCTTAAGGTGTATTTTGCTGTTAGAGATAAGAATCAGTAGGGTGCTAGAACAAAACAGATCAGACAGACGTGCGTGAAGGTTGCATGGGTTTCCTTCTGAGACTTAAGCATCAGAGCAACCCTGTAAATGTCGACAGCCATCCTTCCAGTCTGCCTGGCCTGCTTGCAGTTTCAGCAATATTTGCATATTTACTTAATGGACAAGAAACTAAAAAGCAAAGCAAACAAAACCAAAACCAAAACCTACTGCTGTATTTTCTTCCTTTTGCTACGATCCTTCTGTGTTTTGACTTGTAGACCACTACCGAGCCTGTGGCAGCCACGGAGACTCTGGGCGAGGTACCTGAACATGTGTTTCGAGGACTTCCTGAGGAAGTGAGGCTTTTACCATCTGCTGTTGACAAAACCCGGATTGGTGAGTACTCTGGTCACAGGATATAGGCAGCAAGAGCAAGCAGCTTCCTGTGGGATCCCGTTAGGTAGCCAGTGTGCCATAGAAGGAATGGATTTGCTCTTGACTTGGATGGTCATATGTTTATCCAGTTTCCATTTGAGAATCCAGGCTGGACATAGGTTATAAAAAGGAAACGAAGAACCCTGGCCCCGACACACACAGCACAGCATGCATCTTCCATCCGTGGTTACTTCCTAGTGTGACCTCTTCTGCATCTCTACGGGCTTCGTCCACACAGTGCCTTGTGTTCTCTTGGATTTCACTGTGACTTGAGTGCGATTATGTCACCACATTCATTTCATTATTTTGTCATTGACTTGCTGCCTGCTCGTCTTACTGATAGCGCCTTCCTTTCTGGTTTCTCTGTTTCATGAGGACCAGACACTGTGGACTCTGAGAAGGTATTTGAATGAATTGAGTGTATCCAAATGATTTTGGCTAGAATTTTTTGTTGAATATATAAGCTTGTGTGTATTTGATTATGGTTTTTGGCTGAATTTTTTGATAGAAGGCTAAGAAAGTAAATTATAAGAATCTTGTCAAAATACAGCCTTGGTACATATCTTGTTTATGTCTTCTTTTGTCTTTTAGATACACTTCTGATTCTCACTGAATGTGTAGGAATAACTATGACATACTTTTATTGATTCTTGTTGAAAGTTTACTTAGTGAACATTGAAGTATTTATATTAGCATATTTGAATGAAAGTGGTTGATTCCATAGTTAAACCATTTGATAGTTGACAGCATTGTCAGATGCGGCTCCTAGCAGACATAGAGTGGAGGTGGAATCCACACATCCTAGCTGCACAGGACTGGACTAATGTCCCCCTCCCATTCTGTACGTGAGGGAGGTGCTGGTTCTCTTGACTCCTGAGCTCCTGCCGTTCCACCGACTGCTTCTTCATCATAACTGTGTGCCTTTAAAAAAATATTTTATTAATTAGTTTTATGTGTATGAGTGTATTGCCTGCGTGTGTGTAAGTGTATCTGTGTCATGCAATGCCTACAAGAGGTCAGAAGAGGGCATTGGCTCCCCTGGAACTGGAGTTACAGATGGTTGTTAGCTGCCATGTGGGTCCTGGGAATTGAACCTGGGTCCTCTGCAAGAGCAGGGCTCTTAACCACTGAGCCATCTCTCCAGTCCCATAACTGTATGCTTTAGGAGGGTTACAGGAGTTAGAAATTATCCTAGGGTTGCCCTGGGTGAGTGTGTGTGCTGGCTGTTTAAAACTCTGAAAGGCAGGCTGTCTCATGAGCTATATTTTAGGAAGCCTAGTGAGAGATGAGAGGGTTTTCCTCTTTAATTGAACAAATGAACTTCAAAAGCAGTTATTCATAAAGCTGGAATCCTAACCACTTATATAAACAATTCATGTTTAAGCCAGGTATGGTGGCACATGTCTTTAATCCCAGCACTCGGGATGAAGAGGCAGGCAGATCTCAGAGTTCAAGACCAGCCTGGTCTACACACTGAGTTCCAGGCCAGCTGGGGCTACAGAGAGACCCTGTCTCAAAAAGACAGGAAAACAAACAAACAAAGCCCCCCAAAACAACAACTCATGTGTAGCCGACACAATTTGAAATCTGTAGAAAGAATGAAGTGCTTAAATTTGTAGTTTAATTCCGTTTTTTTTTTTTTTTTTTTTTGTTATTTTGAAGTGTTTGTGATTGTACTGTGTAGTCAGTTTTATATGTAGAAATTAAATACAAAAGTTTTTTTTTACATAATAAAAACACCGCAAGTTCTTTATAGACCGTTTAGAAAATACTGAGGAACATGAAGAAAAAGCAAAATCCTCTTGAGGATTTGATTTAACTTAATGATAGCTAACATTATCTTACTGTTTTATTTTTTTTGTAAAACTGAATGACATTAATGCTTTCAATCTTTAAAATAACTGAAATACATTATAAAAATACTGATTTTATTTTCTAGGTGTCTGGGCCACTAAACCAATTTTAAAAGGGAAAAAGTTTGGGCCATTTGTTGGTGATAAGAAAAAAAGATCTCAGGTTAAGAATAATGTGTACATGTGGGAGGTAAGAAAGAATTCTGATTCTTCGTCTCTCAGAGTTCTGTACGTTTTAAAGAAATCATTGTCTCTTCTCACAGGCTTCAACATTATGAAGTTAAAATAATCATCTTGCTATGTACTTTAAAACTCAGGAGTATTTTTGTTAAAGAGAAAATGAGTTCCCTGGATACAGACTTGTTTACATATGCTTTTGTGTTGAAACTGTTTGGCTGTTTTGGGCAATAAATGTCCCATCTATTTTTCATATTGCCCTGACCGTGGTGTTTCATTTTGCACCTAAGACCTTGACTTCTTGTTGGTAGTCTGTCACTTTACAGGTGATGCAGATACAAACTGTGAAACACTCCAGAGGCTGCAAAGAAAACAGTCTAACAGTGTTAGTTAGGTTCCTCTGTGCATTTTAGAAAGTAATTTCTATGTCATTGGAATATTCAGATTTGTATATATTTAGCACATGGCACATTTACATAGAGCTTTTAATTGTTCAAAAGGTCTTCATTCTGTTTCATGTTTGTCCTGTCCATAGTCCTGGAGGCAAAGCGGGGCAGGAACACAGCCTTTAGATGAGAAGGAGCCAGAGGAGGAGGAGCTGTCCCTGCCTGCAGGCCAGGCTGAGTGGGGCAGATGCAGAGCCCATGTCTCTGCTGATCAGTGGGGCAGGTACCAGTGTTCTCATGTATTGCTTGGGTCAGGTCCAGCTTCCATAATAGCTTCCTGTTTATGAGCCTGGTACCTAGCCTATGGGTTGTAAAGTCTTCCATTTAAACATTGGGGGTGCTAAAGATACTTCATTTGGACAGTTAGGAAGATAAGTATGTTGATAGTGTTCCCTGGATTTTATGGAATTCCACTTTTACATTTAATTTAGTGCAGGTCAGTGCCCTGGGGAAGTCAAGTCAGCTCATGACTCCCTTTATGCAGGTTCGGTTTTTGAATGATAAGGAATCATACCTGTTTTTTGTGTTGACATAGGAAGGCCCCACAGTCAAGTGTGGTCATGAAATGTGCATGCATATCCCCCAGAAGCACATGACTTTTTTAAGGCTCTTAGCCTGATCTGACAGTTTCTCCCAGTCATTATGAGTTTGTTTCTTGTGAGTCTGCTATAATACCATCTGACAGTGGACCCTGGGAGCTTTAGGAAACACGGATTTACCACAGGTGCCACTATTAATTGGAGGCGAAAGAGCTTTGTAATTGTAGAAAAACTACCTGCCCCCCAAATGTCTTCATCACTCAAGACAATAATGTATCATTGAAAAATGTGTTGCCTTGGTTAGGTATAGTGGCACTTGGGAGGCAGTGGCAGGTGGATCTTTGTGAGTTTGAGGCCAGCCTGGTCTACATACCGAGTTCCAGGCCAGCTAGGGCTACAGGGAGATCCTGCCTCAAAAAGACCAAAAACAAAACAAAACAAAACAATGTGTTACCTACACAATTATGCTCCCAAGTAAACCACACTTTTATTTTTAAAAGTTTCTCAAAGGAAACTAACGAGCATCTTCTACCTGATTAGCAGTGATCATAGGATAATGTCAAGAAGTCAGAACATGCGTACTCAGGTAGTATGTATATGACGCCAAGCCTGAACAAATGCCCCTTAATATTAAAGTTAAGTTAGTGGTTCCTTTCACCCAGTGTAACAGTTTGATGTTGTTGGACATGTCATAGAGATTATTTCTCATTCCTTTATTTTCATTTGCATTGAAATTCATACATAGAATAACTTGATAGTAACTTGTTGAAAATTGTGATTTTGGAACCATGAGCTATTAATTAGGGACTCATTCTCCTTATTAACTTAACATCCTATTTATATATGGCTTCAGTTTGTAAATTATCCTGATGGTACTATTTCTTTCTCTTCAGGTTTAAGATTTTGTTCTTGTGAAGACTGACTTTTCCTAGCAATTAAAAATGGCAGGATCTCATTCACTTAGTTCCCACATCAAAGTGTAGATCTGATAAACCTTTTATTATTTTAAACTGTTAAAATAAGATATATATGGCACACATGCTTGTATATACATGTGGCAGAGCGTAAGGAGTACCAGTAGTTCTCATAAGTAAATTGAAAATCAAAATAAATTGTATTTTCCCATTAACTTATTCTAACCCTGGTCTTATCCTCAGACTTGCATCAGAATGCCTCTTCCAAATGCACAGAAAGAGCTTATCAACAAAACCTCATCTGGGCATTTGTTCTTCTCTCAAAGCCCCTTAGGACCAGTGTATTTTAGCAGCAGGGTCCTATACCCCAGCCAGAACTCCATTGTGAAGCTAATCTAAGGCAGAGTGTTAACACTGGCTTTCTTGAGCCCTTGTCTATCGAACTCCTTCTGAAATTCTCTAAGCTCTCACTGAAAACATTCCATTAAATGCAGAGAAAGGTAAAGTGCGCTCAGGAAGAATGCTCAGCATAGGTTCTCAGAAGAGAAGAGAGCTTTGATCTGCCTCTGGCAGATCTGCTGGGGAACCTTACATGTGGGGTTGCCTGGAATGCTGTTTCTGATCACCTCTGGTGTACTGAGCCATCTCAGAATTTTGAAACCATCCCTGATAAAAAGACTTTTTTTTTTTTTGAGGCAGGGTCTTGCTTTGTGACTAAACTAGGATCCTTTTAGCTCTTACCTCTCAAGTGCTGGGATTGCAAGCTTGTGCTGCCATCTCCAGCTGATGAAAAACCTTTTAAACTTGGGCTCAGATTGCTTCTGTTGAACAGATTTTTAAAAATTACTTGAATAAGAATTAATTGGGGGCTAGAGAGATGGCTCAGCAGTTAAGAGCACTCACAGCCCTTGTAGAGAACCTGAGTTTGGTTCCCAGCACCCACATAGTGGCTAACAAGTATCCTTAACTCCAGTTCCAGGGGATTTCACACCCTCTTGGCCTCTGTGGGCATTGCAGTGCACTTACATGCAGGCAAAATCCTCATACACATAAAATAAAAATAGATAAATAAAAATTTTAAAACTATTTGAATAAGCCTTTTTAAAAAATATTGGGATTTATATATATATTTTTTGGGAGAGTGTTTTGCCTGCATGTAAGTACACCCGTGTCATGTTTTGTGTTTTGCTTATTTAAGCAATAAATATGAGTCCAAAGGACAGAGAGAAGTAGACTTGCTTATCAGTTAAAACTGATAGAGAAATGGCCTCTGCAGAGTGAGAAGACTTTAATTGTTTAAAGACACAGAAACCGTTTTTCCATCAGTTGCTCGGTACCACCATGGCTAAATCTTAGCATGTGAGTTTGGTGGTCCTTACCTCCTCATTTTGTGTAGGTCGGTGTTCTTGGTCTTGCATACTTGCAGGCAGGAGGAAGACATGCCAGCCCACTGACTCTCAGAGCCGTTTTCAGAAGGTGCAGCTCAGCTCTCCCCGCTGCTTTTCAGAGGCTGAACTCTGCCACAGCAGCTCATGGGAAAGGTCCAGATCTAGGGAAGTTCACCTGCCACCTGATTTTAAACCCTGGGACTAACAAGGATCTTATCTTTACACTTTAAAATTTTTGTGACACATGAAAATTTTATGAAATCCAAATTTCAGTTCAGTTTGTACAGTTTGATGAGAGCATGGCCACATTTGTTTGTTTGCATAGCCTGTGGCTGGCCTTGCCTCTGTACCTGTGAAGTCAAACAGGACAGGAGCTGTATGAGCTATAAAACCAGAAGAGGTTTACATTCTCCTTTACAGAGAGTTTATGGAGTCTGATCTTTGTAGAGAAGCAGCCAGGGGAGTGACGGCGGCGGCGGGGGATGGGGGGGTGTCGGTCTGGTGTCTCAGGGCCACTGGCTGGGGAATGGCAGTGTGAGAACCCTCCAGAAGTTCATGGCTGGAGAAACTGTCATGGAGACAGCCCAGCCAGCCATCTTCCTCAGCAGCGTCAGGATGCATGGAGAGAATTCGAAACAGCTTTGTAGAACAGGTTAGCTCATACCCAGGCTGGCAGCTCGGTCTGTGGCAGCTTTTTCTTTGAGAGTTTGTTCACTTACTTAATGTCTTTTGTTAAACTTTTACCATGTGTTCTGGAGCATTGATCTTGGCCTGTGAACAAATGGTGTTATAAACTCCTGGCGTTATCTCATAGAGATTGTTGATCATGGAGTAAGAGACTGCTAGATGTAACCTTAGTCTGTGCAGATGAAAAGCCTGACCTCCCTCCCAGTCACGTGCTTGGGGTCTTGAAGCTGTTAGGCCTGGAGTCAGCTCAGGAGCAGGCCTCTTTGCTGCTTGTGTTCTTCCTATAACAGAGGCCACAGTCGCTAGAGTGCTTTGTGCTGTACTCTTGTGTGTCTTCCTGGCAACAGTATGTCAAAGACAGGCTGCTGATGAAGTGTAGAAAAGTTTGTTTGGCTCAGTTCTGGAGGTGGCCATCCATGTTTGGGTGGTCCTTGTGGTTTGGACCTTTGGTGCTGGTGGCACATCCTGGCAGGAGCACATGCAGGAGCCAAAGGTTCGTATGTCAGACTGGAGCAGGAATAAAGGGATAGGCAAGGGCCCCACAGTCCCTTCTGAGGCCTGGTCCCAATGACCTAGGGACTTTCTAAGAGGCCCCACCTCTTAAAGGTCCATTACTTCCCAATACCACTACTTAGGGGACTATGTCTTTATATGTGGACCTTTGTGAGACCCTGAAGCAGACCATAGCCCTGTTCTGAGACTCTCCCCAGAGTGTGTGTAAATGCGCACGTCCGAAAGGTTGTATGGCACTTCTTGTATTCACAGAATTCTTAAACACCCACGACCTGTAGGTAGAATTTTTTATTTAAAAAAAGTAAAATAAATTATTTTGTCTACCCAATAGAAGTTGATCAGGGACCCACTGTGAACCAGTCAACTTTTTTTGAGCATCTCTTGTAGGATATTTCCCAAAAATATGTGTATAGTTAGGTCTGAGACCTACTCCGAGTAGCTAGGTCATCAGAGATGGACATCTGGCTGGGCTTTGGAGGTTGGAGAGGTCACGCTATTTACTTTTTCCATTTGTATTTTAGAATTGCTCTCTAAGTGACCTATATTCTTGGAATTATTTTCTGACAAGTGGGCTTGCTGTGGTAAGACCTGCTACCACCTGTTAGACTCTTTTATTTCTCCTGCTCTAAAATGCTCAGAACAGTTCAGAAGCCCCTGAGCTTCCAAAGTAACCTGAGGAGTAAAGTGGTAACGATCCTTTTTTGTCTCTGGCCCCCAGAAAGTTACTTCTGTAAGGCAGCAGTCTGGCCATCCTAAATAAGACCTGCAGGTATTCAGCTGTATAACTAAAATGCAGGAGAAAGTTTAGTACATCACAGATACAGCATTCTCTAGGGAGTACTGCTAGTGACACTCTTTAAGACTTGTAAAGACACATTTATTGCATTTTCATACCAAAGTGACATTATTTTTTCCTCTTTATCTTCTTAGCTTTCTTTGCAGATTAGATGATGTACATGAAATTTGCTGATAGAGACGATCCTGGCTCAGTAAATACTAACAGAGCTGAGCAGCAAAGAACATTTGATCACATGGAGACTAGTTGGCTTCCTCCTGTCTTTCCACTACCTTTGTCTGATGATGGACGACACTTTTGTAGCCTAGTAATTTGTAGTTTGATTAAGCAAAATTTTTATCACACTTTAGAGATAAATTATGTGAGTCAGTCACTAGAGTTAATGTGCTTAGAAGCTGAGGCTTGATCACCTAGGATGAGAACTGCATCAGGTCATATTCTCATCTCAGCTCCTCGTTAATAAGGTTAAACTCTCCAAAACGAGAGAGCTGCACACTATTGCTTTTACTTAAAAGTGTATAAGATGGAGCTGGAGAGATGACTCAGTGGTTAAGAGCACTGGCTGCTCTTGCAGAGGACCCGGGTTCAGTTTCTAGTGCCTACGTGGTGGCTAGCAGAGGTCCTTAACTCCCGTTCCAGGGGATCTTACGCCCTCTTCTGACCTCTGCAAGGATTGCAGGACTCAGGTGCACTTACACACATGCAGGTAATACACTCGTATATAGAAAATAAAATAATTATAAAAAGCATATAAACTAACAAGGAAGAGGATTTTAACTTGGCACCCAGCAGATCTTGGGTAGCTTCATGCAAACTTAGATTGTCATTCCAAGCAGTAACTTGACTTTCCCTTTCCTCCTGCTCCTCCTGCTCCTCCTGCTCCTGCTCTTCCTCCTCCTCCCCATCTGCCTCTTCTTCCTCCTCCTCCTCCTATTTTGCTGTGTAGAGTCTACTAAACTAGTGGAGGAAAGGTAGCAGGTTCAGATAAGGAAAATTTAAAAATTTTGAATTTTCCCATTTTTTTCAGACGAAACCATTGGTGACGTTTTCATGTTTTAGAATATTTTCTCTCTATATTATTATGTTTAAGATTAAAATGATACCTAGTCTATTCTTCCAATAAATGGCTTTATTCAGTTGTAAACTTATGTGTGTGTGTACTTATTTGCATGTGTATGTATTTGTGTGTGTACATGCGCATGCATGTGTGTATGTGGGTGTGCACTATACAGTAAGACTCTGTCTCATATAGCTTATATAAAAAAAGCTAACAGCCCCCCCAAACATGAACATTTCCCCCTCCAAACAATATTTTTATTTTAAAAGTTTTTTATTGTTTATATTTATTTTATGTGTATGAGTGTTTTGCCTACATGTATGTAAGTGCACCCATGTCATACAATGCCCTCAGAGGCCAGAAGAGGTTGTCAGATCTGCTGGAACTGGCATTATGCTAATTGTCAGCTGCCATGTGGGTGCAACCTGTGTCCTCTGCAAGAGCAGCCAGTGCTCTTAACTGCTGAGCCATCATCTCTCCAGAGCCATGTTCGTCTTTGTCCCTAGAACTGTTTTCTTTGTGGACACCAGTGTGATTTAGACAATGCTTTATTCCCTTTTGAAGCACAGTGAGCAATGCATAAAGAAAGAATTTACTTACCTGGAACCCTACATTTTGCAGGGGTCTACATTGACCTGACAGCCAGGAAGCCCAGCAGACCCTGTGTTGGTATTGAAGCAGATATGGATGGTCACTACTGCCTTCCACATGGCGGGTTTTCCTGGAAGTTGCTTCTGTCTCTGCAGTCCCATTGACTGATCCTGTCACTGTGCCGCTATGTGGGTGGTAATCCAACCCTGGTGTCTACTGGCACACACACGTGTACCCACGAAACCCAACACTCTCTGTCCTTGTGTGCGTTAGTGAAGTGACTAGTATATATGGACTGGCAGTGCTCATGGACCATTCACTCCATTTTCCACAACTGACTGCTGGAAAACCTGACTGATCTCTTAAACATAGGAAAGCAGCTGCCATTGTTTTATGTATTGAGTTTAGCTTCAAAATTTGCCTTTTCATAACATACCATTTGAAGGCTGCTTTGTTTTAAAGAGAAGGGAGTGTGCGTGTGTCTGTGTGCCCATGTAAGGACTGAGAGGCTGGTGGGAAGACAGGAGCTTGCAGTCTTGCCTATGGTGGTCAGGTGGACAGGGAGCACTGACAATGAGGTGTGAAGTTGACTGTTGCAGTGGTGGAAACCTCTCTTTAGAGTGGTGCAGATTGGGTGCTTAGTAAGCAGCAAGAATTTGCATGAACTCACAAAGGATACTTAATCGACAATGAACGTACTACCTTGGTGTTTATGAGGATGAAATAAAGTAACTTCAGAATACCTTCTGGCCTGACCTGTCACATAGTAGGTGCTCATCAGACGATGGTGAATGGTACCTTAATTCATTCTGTGAGTGTTTGCTGTCCACTTAGGGTATACCAGGCACAGGTTGAGCGCAGAGAAAAGGCAGGATGTCTTCTCAGGGGCTAATACTTTGGTGGAGAAAGCCAGTCACTGAAAGAGTAAGTAAACAAGTGGGTAGATGATTCTGTCCACTGGAGTTCATCAGTGCTGGGGAGCAAAGTCAAGGAGGGAGGGACTGAGGGAAGAGGGGCTGGTGGTGCTAAAACAGATGAGCTTACCTAGGGTGCTCACATGGTCAGGGAATACACCAACAAATAAGGGTTCTGCAGAGTGGGGTTTAAGACCATTTTTACTTAAGTAATTTTTTTAAAAGAATGCTGTTTAGCTTTTGAACCTCAGTTTCTACATGTTGGAGAAGTAGTAGTAAATGAGGTCTCATAGAGAGCTTGTAGCTTAGTAAAATCAGTGCCCAGGAAGGTGAAAGCTGTACCTGACAGCTATGCTCGGGGACCCAGGCTTGTCCAGGTGAGTGGTACCCTGGCCCTCAGCTGGGAGCTGGAGCTGTGTTCTGGAGGGAAAGGTGATTAATGTAGGTGGGAGAGGAAAGAAAGAATGAATGGTAGGAATTGGGGCATGTGTGGGAAGAGAGTCCTTCCTTCCTTAAAAAGAAAGTAAAAGAACTTGTTTTGCTTGACATGACTATTTATAGTTCTGTTTCAGTGCTACTTGTGTGTTTTGCAGTCTAGCTTTAGGGAATAAAACATGTACATATGCACGTACAGAATTTAAAAAGTCCTTGCAAAGTAAATATTCTTTAAAATGAAGGCATGATGAGTAACTGTTGGCAGCACCTCGGGAGGAACTGAGTCAGCGTGGATCAGGGAAGCTTCCTGTGAGAGGTTCTGTGGGCTGGGACTTCTGTTTACTGAAGGGCATCGATACTTCAGAGTATCTGATACTTCAGGGTACCTTCCACTCTACCTCAGTCTTGAAACATGTGGTGGAGTAGGTGTTAAGGGACAACTCGGTGCACAAAAGCATCATTGCTTGTCGTCCACAAGACTGGTTTACAACATGTGTTCATTTTCTGAAGTCCTTGTAAACCCTGCCAGAAAGTGACCCTCTGAACTTTCTGGCCCACTGTCCAGACCCATAACCGGACCGGCAGAGTATCTCAGAAGGCACTTTCGAAAATTTTTAATTTATTATTTTTATTTTATGTGTATGAGTGTATTGCCCGCATGCATATAAGTGCACCTATGTTGTGCATTGCCTGTGGCACTCAGAAGAGGGAATCAGATTCCCCTGGAACTGGAGTTACTGATGGCTGCTAGCTGTCATGTGGGTGCTGGGAATCTCTCCAGCCCTCCACCCAAGAAAGCACTTTGATAAGTTACACTTGAGGTAGTGTGTTTGTTGCTTGTCTTCATGCACATCTTTAACAAAATTTGTAGGTCAAGCATATTAACTAGAATTCCTCATGTTTTAGAAAAAATCAACCTATTTTTAAAAAAGAACAAGATTTTACAGTTGAGGGTTTCGTTTTTCAGCTTGTATTTTTCTTTGTTGCTTATTTTATCTGAAATGCTTATACCTTTGTCATGAAAATAGTTGTTTTAAAGTTAAAGATGAAAGCTGTCTTTAGGTACTCCTGTTTTAACAAGGGCCGTTCTCTGTCCCCTAGGTGTACTACCCAAATTTGGGGTGGATGTGCATTGATGCCACCGATCCAGACAAGGGCAACTGGCTGCGATATGTGAACTGGGCTTGCTCAGGAGAAGAGCAAAATTTATTTCCGCTGGAAATCAACAGAGCCATTTACTATAAAACCTTAAAGGTAACAGTCAGTGTTGGAATTAGTCTTCTGCTGGTTACTCTGCATACATTTTCTAAGTATAATCCTGAGTTGTGACTGACGAGAACAGCTTTGTAGACCTTGAAAGGATTGTATTTGAAGTGGCTCATCCACTCACCCAGAGTTCTGTTAAATCTATGGTTGCCGAGACCTCACGTGTCAGGGAACTAAAGTGCAAAGATTGTGATGAGTAATTACAGACTGCATCTCTCTAGATACTGCTGATTATCCTTGGCAGCTACTCCCTTCCTCCTCCTCCTCCTCCT